CGTCGTTGTCGAGTTTTCTATCTCCTCCTCTCCTCTCTCTCTCTCTCTCTCTTTCTCGTTTTAATAAAAACCGGCACGGGTCTAACCGGTTTTAGAATCAATAATACGTGGAAATAGGAGAAAATACAGTGAAGCGGGCAATGATTAACGATAATTGCGCGAGATCCGATCGAACCGGCCAAGTGAATTCGTAATTCGAGGAAAAGTGGCGTGGTGTTTACGAGGAGAGGAGTGGCGATCGTGGGAGGAGGGCAGCATTAAGGTGGTGGTTGGAAAAAAGAACGCGTGGGACACGGCGGGAAAGTATTGTTCCGTTAAATAAGCGAGTGGAGAAACGAGGGAAGAAAGAGAAACGAGGCGTGTGACGTAAAAGAGTAACTCGTGGGAATTCTGCCATATGACCTGTCCTACTAAGTGGAAAACGCGAGGTTTGCTTAACCCTAAGAGGCTCCAGTTTACGAGAACCAGTATACAATTCCCTAAACTTTCATCAAAACGTAGCCATATGACGAATGGAAGGAAATAAGGTCGAAAGCGTCTATTTATACCTCTCGAAAATATGGCGAGAGAACAAGGATGGTGGAGAAAAAAAAAAAAAAAACCCTGCGTGAAACCTCGTCGACGGCGAGTAAATATATTTTACGAGAAAGGGCAGAAAAGGGAGAGGGAAAAATAAAAATAACGCGCGCGTATGGGAAATAATTCGTTCGAGCAATCGAATTCGATGTAGATGGGATAAATTTTTTATCTCAATGTTAACGGCCGGTATTTTAATAAGATCGAATTACTAACGGATCAACAATTTACCGTGTCCGCCATTGGGAAATGAATATTACCGATGTAAAAAAAAAAAAATATATATATATATATATGTATAAAATAGGAGGGTGAATACATTGAAAATGGCGCGTTACAAGCAATCCGAGCGAATAATTAAATATGCGGCTCGAATACTTTTGGGTGAAACAAATCAGTGGAATTCCAATGGAGAATAAAACGCGTTTTAGTATTGGAAAGGTTGGAAAATGGAAATGGATCGTCCCGATGGACGGGAACGCTTTTTATTCCGCCTCGCGAGCCAGACGCGGTGAAATTTTATTTAATGGTTCTCATATGTTGAAAACGCGCGCGCCGGTTCCTTTTTTTGAAACAATGGGGCCCGATGTAATCGAGGAAAATCCTCACGCTCGCGCCGGGTTTCCGGTATTATTAAAATCATTATTTCCGTCTCTTCGTATTCGCACGGAAATAAATAGGGTGCGTGCCGCGAGGGGGGGGAGGGGGGGAGGAGGAGGAGGATCTCGTATTACTTTCGAGAGACGTGGAAAATGGACTCGCGCGCGCTTATACACCGAGCTGGATCGCGAACGCGTGGAATAGGCGGAAATATTACGTTCGAGAAGCGGGAGAAGGGACGGACAGGGGAAGAAAGATAGCGGCGAGGAAGGGGATCGGTAAGAGAGAGACAAACGTTGTGACGTTACGAACTTCGTAACGAAACCATTCACTCGAGAAGTTTCCAACTGTCACTGTTTTTCCCCCGGTTATACACTTATTCAACTATCTATATATCGTTGTTCGAATTTAACGCGACGTTAGCGCCGATAAAATATAAAGAAGATGGCCATCTGAAACACTCTGAGTTCTGGGATGAGGCCACATTTTCTTTTCTTCTTCTTTTTTTTTCTTTTTTCTTTTCTTTTTTTTTTTTTTTTTTTTCTTTAACGGTAACGGTATCGCGAAAGGGAATGAAATATAAAGGTGGATAGGAGGTTTATACGCTTTCGTACGGCCGAAAATTGTTATCCCTCGCTCTTTAAAGGGGATACTTTTTCCTTTTCTTCTTTTAACAGCTTTCTCTTTAAAGCACCTCAGTTCATCGCGTATCACGACGATCCATACTTTTACTTTTATTTCTTCACAAATTCATTCGATTCGACAAACGCATCGTTATTATTAAGGAACAATCGTTCGAACGAACAAGTTTAGACACGTTTGTTCTAAACGTTGTTTCGTTGATCCGATTAAAATTTTCGCGTTAATATTATACATGTATGGAAAGATGGTATAAATAATTCACGGTACACGATATAACCGAGTTAATTAAACGTGATATTTGCCTGGGACGAATATATTAATATTCATAGATTTAGCGAATAATCGTAACCAAAGCGGGGACAAAGATTTCAGAGACAAATTCGTCAAATTGAACCGCATAATAATCAATTGGCAATGACTGTCGGCTATTAAACATATTCAATGAAGTAGCGATTGACAAGGGACGTTCGTTCGTTGATCGTGATCGACAGGAATTGTGCGCGGCGTTTCACGCGGGCGCCAGGTTCGGCAAAATTAATCACGCCGCATCGTTTCCACGATTGATGGCCGCGCCCAAATCAAAAACCAAAGGCGTGAATATTCAGGGATCGACGGCCTGATTTCTATTTCACGGCTGCGTATCCACGATCGTCGTTTCCGCGAAATAAATAACACGGGGGATACATCATCCCCCGTCACACTAGCCGCTTTGCCCTCGTCGCAAATAGAAGCCAGAGGAATTACGCCACCAAGATCCGCGGGATGGGTTGGGTTGACGCGGTAATACCGGTTATCATCGCGCTGATTGCACCCATACCTACATCCAACTCCAACTATCTTCCACTGGAACCCGCGCCTGACCTGATATATTTCCATCCGAGCTATTCATTACGTCTATCCACCGCCCGATCGCTCCTTTCACGGATACATCGATGCA